AAATATTTTCAGTGTATGTTGATTGATAGAAAAAAAATTTATCTTTCATATACTCAATTTGTAGACCAAGATAAAATTTTATTTTTCTAAGATCTTTCATTTTAAATTCTTTCTTTAAACAGTCTACTGCTTTATGAAGCTCCCCGGGAGTTCTAATGATATTTGAATCATCAACATACACCGCGATTATAACAAATTCAAATCCGGATCCTTTTACAAGGACAAATTGAATTATTCTTGTATCCTTCTTTCAACAAGTATTTTCTCGGGAGATTATACCACATGCGCCCTTATTGTTTCAATCCGTATAAGGATTATTGAAGCTTTATTTAATAAATTTCTTGGAAACCATAATATGTTTCAGAACAATTTAAATCCTTCAATGATTTCCATTATACGCATATCAAGTTTTTTTTTATGTATTGCCAGATTAAAATCTTAAATGACTACATCCACCACAAGAGAACATGTCTCTATATAATCAATGTCAGGATATTTACAAATATTCTTGTGACACAAGTCATCTTTATGTCTATCGACTTGACCTTTTTCGCACAAGAACACATTTACATCCACTGGATTTATACTTTCAGGTGTTGGGACTCCGTCCAACTTTATATTTTTCAAGTGAAGTCAACTTTCATTGCGTATTTTTCATTTGGCCAATTATTTATCTGTCCAAATTTCATGACAGATTTGAGCTCAAGATCCTCGTCAATATTAATAATATTGAGCGCTACATTATGTTAACAATATCGTCGACGATCATTTTATATCGGTTCAATTATTACCTAATAAAGACATAACTTATTGAGATCTCTTTATCTCATTATTTCAGGTACCTGAGCTTCTCCCATGAGGCCTTATGAAATATTATGTCGTGGTGCTCTTCTAGAGCATTTGCCTCCTTTTTATGACCATTTTGAATATTTGCCCCTCTTCTTCTTCAAGGAGTTTTATCTTTGGAACCGATTGGTCTGTTACGCTTTATGCGTGGCATAGACTCTGTCCCCCATGGACTTTGTTCTATTTGGAGCATTAGCAGCTGAAATATGACATTTAGTTTTGGGTCAGCAAATGCGTTTGGCAATAATTTGTAAATGAATTATCACTTGAACTTCAAGTTCATATTTTCTTGTACGAGGATCTATATGTATTCATAATAATTCATTTCACGTATCACTTTCTCAGCTGCCCATTTTCTCCCCCTAATGTTGGGATCACCAACACATTTCCCAACCTTCTTTGGGAACACATCTTTGTGCATTGTGGTGGAATAATTAAATCATGTAGCACATCCATATTTCTATATAGAAATTATTTGGTTCCTGACCCTGAACCGATTGTGATAGGGAGAAATTTTCATAACTTGGCTAGATGCGTGCAGGTGTTGTTGTATATTAATAATACATCTCATACAAAATTTTGTTTTGAGAGTTTTGTTCTCATAACCAACGATTTAGCTATAATTGGAGGCATATAATTTCTGCTAAACCAACTTGGATTTAAACCAGTATTATTAAGATAAATCATCATAATTTATATTCTGGAACTGTACTCTAATAATTTGAGCAAACAATCTTGCAAAACCCAAACTTCAAGTTGATAACAAATGCACATGTGACCATAGAATAGATGCATCTATTAAAATCATATAATAGTAAACGGTCCACAAGGCAGGTGACTGAGCCCATATATTTATCACCTTTTATTTGTTCCAGAAATCAAGGGATACAATCCCAACCTTAACTGATATATCATGAGAAAAAGCAGCACAAGAGAATTCTTGAAGAATCTTCTATTCTTCAATATATGTCAATGTAATTCTCAATTAATTTTTTTTTCGCATCATAATTGAACCGGGATGGTCAACCGGTTATGCCAACTAATATTTATTTTAGTAAATCTCTAGTTTACTTGTGGCATATGATTCAAGCATCATGCTTATATTTGTGTAGTACAAATAGAAATAAAATCGGATAACCTTTCATATTTACCCGGTATGATTATAGAGAAGATGTTCAATCTTCCTTTTATTTATTGTCTCATATGACAACAACTTTTACTTATACATTTGAAACTCAAAAAGTTTCTTTTTAGACTTTACAATATCAATGTCATGAATAATTTTATTTATTCGATAGTAACAAATTCGCTCTTCTGGAGCTCTCAATAATTTTGCACTACAAGATCTTTTATAACACCATCCAAGTGGTGAATTTTTCCTCCACAAAGAAAATTATTTTATCATAATAATTATCATGGTCAAAAACATTATAGACAAGTCTCATTTCTTGCTTTACTTTTGCCTTTAATAACCTTTTATAAGGCATGGCAAAATATCTTTGGCGTACCACATGTACGCGACCAATGACATATTTATGTAACTTGTAATATTCAATATCTTTATCTCTCTCAAGCCTCCCTTAAAGGTAAGTTGTGGTATTTATCCAATCTTGCATAAGTACATTCTTATGCATAATTTGAATCACATATATATTTTCACATTCACTTTTAAGAATGAGTTTGCATTTACAATGCATATCACAACTCACATTCTCTTCAAGTGGACTATATTAATCATATGGGGATGCTTATTATTTTCATACCACATGGATGACAAACATCACCTTCATATTTTGTAGGAATATTTGAGAACCCTTATTGTTCTCATTTTTACAATTACCATAATGATGATTATTATTATTGTCTTTGGCACGCCCATGTTCATTGGTCAACCACTTGTCTTCATTTAGACTTATTATGCGCTCCTACCACATTCACTTCAAGAATGGTGCAAATCAAATGGGACATGCTTCATGCTTTTTTTTTCATGAAAAATATGTTACTATTTTTCTTTAGTCATAATTATATCATCAATATGGCGCATTTGGGACTAAAACACAATGCCTTACCCATATAAAAGCATGCTAGGCCATAATAAGTTTGTGTTCAAATCCAACTCTTATCACCATAGTGCATCAGGACTTGAACCCGATGTCTTACCCTTATAGTGCGCTGGGACAAATAAAACGAATTAAGTGGTGCACAAATATGATATAAAGCTATCATAGTAACTTGACAAAATTCGTTAATTAGATAGTACCAAAATATGTCTAAATCGCCGGTATATCCAGTTAGTATGTTATACGTCATAAATTATACAAGTCAATTAGCATGACTTAAAATGTACTAAATGCATCTAGAAACGATACTGGTTAATATGAATACACTTATTACACTAAGGTCTTTATCATGCAACTTCAGTAACAATTTATCTATGTGATTTGACATGATACATAACTAGTATTGTAAGATAATACTTATACCTATTGAAAGATTATATTTGGTCATCTATTTGACCCAGTAGAAGTGAAAGTCCACAAAAACATAAATTTGAAGAAAAGAAATCATACTATGACAAACGACATCGACAACGTCATTGACAAAAGAAGCCTCAGTGTTAGAGATACAAACCTTAGTTAATGGCTTAACCATTTTATAACTCTTTACTTACTGTATTAATCACCATAACTCACCATAAGGTGTGTTAGCTTCGTATTTTTTTTCTGGGAATGAAACCGGATTGCCTTGAAAAATCCAGCGGTGACAGAACAAAAATAAATAGAGGCTCGTCCGCTTCATGTTCATATTTTTGTGAGCAATTCGTGCTGATAACGTGTTATGAAATATAACTCAAAGTAACAATACAGGACAAGAAAATAAAAGCAATTTAGTAAAACATGAACAAGAAATGGAGATAGAGAGAAGGAAGAGATTTCTTCTTCAATTGTGTGTTTCTTTCCATTGCAATTACATGGCCTTTTATAGGTATAAAAAGTAAAGATGATGAACATAAAATAGGAAATTTAATCTTTAAGTTATTCACAACATGGGCATCCAATGTAGCATCCAAAGTAGCATCCAATGTACAAACTATTCATAACATAATTTTATTATTTACTTATTTCATAATTTTGTTTAACTTCACTTTATGTTTAAAATTTAAATATACGACTTTGATCTTTTAAAATATGGACTTAGTAAACTTTGAGGAGCTACATTTTTTGTTATTTTTTGTTCCTACATCCTTTTGCCTTTTATATTTTTAATTCAATATTTTTTTATTAGGCTCACGTGCGAACCAGCTCAGCCTCAGTCAAGCTTCTACTTGGGCCGGTCTAAAAGAATTTCGTTTTTAAATGAGCTCTAAAAATCTTAGCTCAACCCTACTAAATCACAGGTTAAGCTGGACCAACCCAACATGCCAAATTTCTATTGACGGCTCTATCCAAAGCTACCTAAAGCTTTACAGAATATTGTATACATGTTTTATTTTCAATGATTTGTGTGCCTCCTAAACATTCTACAACTTGCTAGAATAGAACTTCCTACAAAACATTAAAACAACATTCTTAGATAGACTTTTCTTTTGCATGAAAATAATAGGGATCTTTACACAAATAGATTTACTATTTATCTTTTTTAGTCAGTATATATAGACTATACATTAGTTATATATATACAGCTTATACGCATGATTATACATATATTGTATATCTTTGGCCATTTTTAATTTAAGTAATTTGATGAGCGACTATTCTAGTTAATTTTTAAATAAATATAAACCAACTAAAATGTTGTGAAATTTATCCATGCAGTAGACCGAATTAAGGAAAAAACTAAAATATTCGAAAATTATTGGCCCGACTGTCAACGCGTAAGGCCCATTAAAGGGGAAAGCGCTCCTTATCAAGGGTTCATTCCTAAGGATCGAGCCAAAATCTCTAGTGAAGTTTAGAGAGATTTCATTTATCCTACCACACCCCTTTGTGGTAGCTAAAATACCCATTTCCATTAGAGTTAAACCCAAGAGTTTAGACCTAATTGGCTAGTCGATATTCCAAAATATATGATGATATTTTTATTTCTCTTCCTCCAAAGAAAATTTATTGATCTGGAGCTGTAATCTATTATTTTTTGTTTAATTCCGCTGCAGGATGCGGATATTAAAACCTTCTCTTGTCATACTTTATTTTGGTGGAAATGATTCAGTAGATCCTGAATTTCCTGGCAGTACTCATGTCCCTCTTCAAGAATATGTTGAAAACATGAGGAGGATTGCACTTCATATCACGGTAAATATTTACTCGCAATCAGTGTTTAAAATCAAACCAAGTAAACATTTTAAGTTTTAACCATAAGCAGTTAATTAAATATGTGTATGAAAAACTTGCTGTTGTATATACATTGAATGCGGGTAATTAAGTTTTACCCAGTTTATCTTTATTTGAAACCTTTTCCTAGCTATTACTCTTATACATTTTATTTGGTATTTCTAACATAAATGTTGTCACGTATATCACTTACAGAGCCTTTCAGAAAGTACTCGTCTGATAATGCTAAATGCAACTCCGGTGAACGAGGAACAAATTGTTCAATTTTATGAGTAATTTAACACCGATACTGGACATGACTTCTTGATTAATTTTTAAGTAATTTAAATGTTTTTTAAAGTATGCATTCATCCTGCTTCTCACCATTACAACCTGAAACTAAATCAGCGATAATCGAAGTAGAAATAATGAGACAGGCCGCATATACTCAGAAGCTGGTATAAAATTAGGCCAAAAATTAGGCGTGAAGGTTATAGATTTTTGGTCTACGCTTCAGGAACACCCTGATTGGTTGACTACAGTCTTCTTGTAAGTTGAAATCTCTACTACTTTTACTCTTTACTTTTGTGTTAATATAGGAGAAGTAGTAAGTAATATTGTTTCATTTTGAATCAAGGAAATTAAGTTATATACATTGCGCGTAAACTTTTTCTATATTATTAGTAAATTTTAACCTGTGATAATCGGTTAATTACCATTTTATGAGAATTAAGTTAGTTTTTTAATTGTGTTTGTATAGGGATGGGATGCATTTAACAAAAGAAGGAAGTGACATTTTGGTCAAGAAAATCTCGAGGGTACTCCGAAAGGCACAGTGGAAGCCAAGCCTACATTGGACAAAAATGGATGATGAATTTTCTGATATTATCATTCCACTTGCTTCTGGGATGAACCTTGACAATTGGCAGAATGAGTATAATGAATAAAACTCAAAATCTTTTTGGTGCATATATTAACATATGCAAGAATAAGACATGTACTCTTCATTTCCCCTTTTTTTGTTAGATCTTTTAAACTTTTTTGCATAAGAATAAATGTAATTACTAGGAAGGTTTTGCCTTTTCCTTGAAGGGTTTGCTTTCTTGTAGAATGCTTCTGTGCGTGCTATAAGTTATGAAAAGTTACTCCTTTTGTCTCTAAATATTTGTTATGTTTCTCTTTTATACGTCTCTTAAAAAAATATTAAACAAGAAATCTTTTTGATTATTTTATCCTTATTTATATCTTAAGATATAATCTTTCTTCATTTAATACTTACTTATAATTAAGGTATATATAGTCGTCAAGAACAATTAATATTAAGGGTATGATAGGAAAATAATAATTAATTTACTCTTGAACTTCTAAAATGACAAATAATTTGAGAAAAATATTTTCAGAAACTACGACAGATAATTTAAGACGGGGGAGTAGTTAATGCAAAGAACACTATTCTAATTTTCATTTTGGAAACTAATGATTCATTTATTACTCCATCCAGTCCATTTTAATTGATTTTTTGACTCTTTTCGCACATATCAATGAATTCACTTTTTAGCAAAAATTAATAATAAAATTAAATTTTAACCTTAATGTGTTTATTGAAAATATAATAAATACTTCTAAACTCTTTATTCCAAGGGCAAATTTGAAAGAAAAAAATTCCTTCTTAATATCTGAAAAGATTAAATATTGTGAACCACAAAAAAGGCCAAAAAATGTCACGACCCGAAATTCCTACCGTCGGGACCGTAATAGCGCCTAACATTTCACTTGCTAGGCAAGACAATGTTAGAACATTTTATCCATTTTTAACAGTTTAAAATTAATTAATGAGAAAGAATTGAAATTACTACAATAATCCAAAGTAATAATGCGGAAGCTAAATATAGCCAAAAGTCTGATACAATCCTGGACACGGTATCACAAGTGCACGAGCTACTAGAATAGTACAAATAAGGGTCTGAAATAACATAAAGTTATCTGAAAAGAAAGTACACAGCCAAATAAAGAAGGGAAGGGGACTCCAGGAGCTGCGGGCGCTGAGCAATTGTACCTCAAGTCTCCACAAGCTGTCCAATCCGAGCACGCTAATAACCGTCACTGGGACCGACTCCAAAATCTGTGCAAGAAGTGCAGAGTATAGTATGAATACAACCGACCCCATGTACTCTGTAAGTGCCGAGCCTAACCTCGACAAAGTAGTAACGAGGCTAAGGCAGGTCACTTACACTACAACATGTACGCAGTATATAATAAAGACAGAAAAGAAAATACGGAACAAAATAAGACAGTCAACTGAAGATAATAGCTACAGCCTCAAGAAATAAGCCAGTGACGATCAGAATTACCAATCCTTAGAGTTTCAAGTGAAAATACCGAAAAGCAACACAACTCAAGGAAATACAAACACATAGGTTGTTGCGGGATCCCACCGTACAACACAGAGTCCTCCCTTATTCCACTGTAACAACATCAACAATCACAAATATATATATATATATATATATATATATATATGTTGCGGCGTGCAACCCGATCCCACCATATAACAATATCAGTATCATAGTTTACCCTTATTTCACCGTATCAATCCACCCTTATTTAACCTGTTACGTCGTGCAACCCGATCCTACCGTATCAGTACAAATTCACCCTTATTCCACCATATCAATCCACCCTTATTTCACCTGTTGCGGCGTGCAATCCGATCCCACCATATCAATACCAAATACTCAATGAGCACAGTCAAATCAATAACTCAAATCATAAGAACCTCTACGATAAATAAATACAATGCTGAACCATAAAGGAAACCTTGTACAACATAGGAATTCACATAAGTAATACTACACAGCAAGACAAGTCCAATAAATGACAATTAGAAGGTGTAAGTAAGTCAATTAAAGCAAATAACGGGGAATCGTAAAACTATAAAAGATCTAACATCATTAACAGGAGAAATTAAAACACTGATTAACAAGTACCAAATAAGCATGGAAGGCATTTAGAGCATATAACAATTAAGACATTGAAGGAGATAATTAAGGAAAATCGGAAAAATCAGGGAAAATAAGTAATTCGGCGGCGTATAAGCACTCGTCACCTCGCATATACGCCGCAACACATGAAATTCACATAACACATAATTCGAGGGTCCCTAATTACCTCAAGTCAAGGTTAAACTCAACACATACCTCACTCCGCAGTCAACTCAAAGCTCTACTAGGGTTTTTTCCCTAGAATCCACCTCCATACCAACCGTATCTAACCACAATTGACTCAATAATATTTCCAAACTACAATGCATAAATTTAGAATTTCCAAACTTTTCCCCAAAAAATCAAAAATCGGCTTTGGGCCCGCTTGGTCAAAACTCGAAATTCAGACTAAAATCCTATTACTCATTCACACCCGAGCCTGGTTATGTAATTTATTTTGTAATCCGACCTCAATTTGTGGTCTACATTTCAATTTTACAAAAATTTCTATTTCCACCCAAACTCCCAGTTTCTACTATGAAATCCTAAATTTTAGGTTAAAATCTTGTGAAATATAATGGACGATTGAAAAAAATAGGTTAGAATCACTTACCAATGAAGTGGGGAAGAAAGGTTCTTGGAAAAATTGTCTCTAAGGTTCTAGGTTTTAAAATTTGAAGAATGAGAGAAAAATCCCGTCAAGTTCAGATTTTGATCAGGTGCAGGTGACGCAATTGTGACCTGGGGTTCGCAATTGCGAAAACCCCAAATACCAGAAATTCTTCGCAATTGCGAAGTCTCGACATTCATGCTGCCTTCGCAAATGCGAACAAAATGTTCGCAAATGCGAATCTGAGGGGATTGCAATTGTGAACCCAGCTCTCGCAAATGCGAAAAATCCACCCCCAGTCCCTGCTCGCAAATGCGAAGTATTCTTCGCAATCGCGAGATCTACAAACAACACCAGAAAACACTCATGCACCAGCTATGATCCTAAGTCCAAATTTACTCCGTAGTCTATCTGAAACTCACCCGAGCGCTCGGGGCTCCAAACCAAACATGCGCACAAGTCCAACAACATCATACGAACTTGCTCGCGCGATCAAAGCACCAAAATAACATCTAGAACTATGAATCGGGCACCAAATCAAATGAAATTTTCAAGAAAACTCATGAACTTCTCTTTTAACAACCGAACGTCCGAATAACGACATACCAACTCCGTTTTTTTTACCAAATTTGACAGACAAGTCATAAATATAGTAATTGACCTATACCGGATTCTGGAACTAAAATACGTACCCAATATCAATAAAGTCAAATACGCACCCAACCCAATATCAATAAAGTCAAATAATGGTCAAACCTTTAGATTCATTAAGCCTTTAAACTTTCAAATTTCAACAAAAAACGAAAACTCGAGCTAGGGACCTCCAAATTTGATTCCGGGCATACGCCCAAGTCCCAAATCACAATACGAACCCACTGGGAATGTTAAAATACGGATCCGGTCCGTTTACTCAAAACGTTAACCGAAGTTAACTCAAATAGATTTTTAAGGTAAAATTTCATATTTTATCAGTTTTTAACATAAAAGCCTTCCGGAAAGACACCCAAACTACACACGCAAATCAAGAAAGGCTAAAATAAGGTATTTGAGGTCACAAAACATAGAATTAGGGTTTGAAACTCTAGATGACCTATCGGGTCATCACATTCTCCACCTCTAAAATAATTGTTCGTCCTCGAACGGACATAGAAAAGTACCTGGGCTGGTGAAAAGGCGTGGATATCTACTCTGCATGTCCGACTCGGACTCACAAGTAGCTGCCTTGACTGACCGGCCTCTCTACTGCACTCGAACTGAAGGATAACTCTTTGACCTCAACTGTCGAACCCGCTGGGCTAGAATAGCCACCGGCTCCTCCACATAAGTCAAATCGTTGTCCAACTGGACTGAGCTAAAATCTAACACATGGGATGGATCATCGTGAATACTTCCGGAGCATGGACACATGGAATACTAGATTAAGTGCTAACAAACTGGTGACAATGCGAGCCTGTAAGCCACATCACCCACTCTCTCAAGAATCTCAAAAGGTCTGATATACCTATAGCTCAACTTGCCCTTCTTTCCGAACCTTATCATACCCTTAATGGCTAAAACCCGGAGAAATACCCTTTCTCCGACCATGAATATGACATCACGAACTCTACAGTCAACACAACTCTTCTGTCTAGAATGAGCTGTGCGAAGTCGATCCTGAATAATCTTGACCTTATCCAAGGCATCTTGTACCAAATCTCTACCCAACAACTTAGCCTCCCTCGGCTCGAACTATCCAATTGGCGATCGGCACCGCCTCCCATATAATGCCTTATAGGAGCCATCTGAATGTTCGACTGGTAACTGCTGTTATAGGCAAATTTTGCAAGTGGCAAGAACCGATCCCAAGAACCTCCAAAGTCTATAACACAAGCGCGGAGCATATCCTCCAATATTTGAATAGTGCGCTCGGACTGTCCGTCCGTCTGAGGATGAAATGTTGTGCTCAACTTAACCTTCTTGCCCAACTCACGTTGTACTGCCCTCCAGAAATGCAAGGTGAACTGCATACCTCGATAAAAAATGATAGATATAGGCACACCGTAAAGACGGTCGATCTCGCGGATAGAAATCTCAACCAACCACTCTGAAGAATAGGTAACTGCCACAGGAATAAAGTGCGCTGACTTGGTCAGCCTATCTACAATGACCCATACCGCATCGAACTTCCTCTGTGTTTGTGGGAGCCCAACAACAAAATCCATAGTGATACGCTCCCACTTCCACTCAGGAATCTCTAACTTCTGAAGTAAACCACCAGATCTCTAATACTCATACTTTACTTGCTGATAATTTAGGCATCGAGCTACATATGCAACTATATCCTTCTTCATTCTCCTCCACCAATAATGATGCCGCA